CAATTAGGGCCATCTTAACTGTTGGCTCTCAGTTCAAGATGATGTAAAGTTAAGAATGTATATGTCATCAGCAGGTGGCATGTCAGCATTGGTCAGATGTCATAGCTTTGTCAACTGTGGAAAGATGTATCCTTCTGTCCCAGTTTCAGGAGTAATTAGGTGTCTGTGGTGGATGGCAGAGCTCAATCCAAGTCTGTGATCTGACTCAGGAAGACGGTATGATATATGAGATGGCTTCTGAGTCTAGGAGGAGACAGTCATGGAGAGGGACACCTGAGAGAAAGTGCTGAGAACTTGGGTTGAGTGTGGCAGCACCTCATCCCAGGTTCTCCTCACTCCTACTGGCCTGTCTTCTCCACTGACAGACGGGAAGCAAAGCTGAGAAGCAGCTGCAGGAGGTGAACCTTCAGCGAGGTCTGATTGGAAATGCTGGCCTGTTCCACCACAGACAAAGGGGGTCATGTTACCAGTTCTTTGGCCAGAATGAAGTTACAAGTTACAAGACTGGTAATTTTACATTCTTTCATGTTATTGGTAATTTTGTTAAAGGTTTTTTTCCCCAAGTTTTTGATTTGGAAGGTATTTCTGTATATTAATTTTACTAAAGGGACTAGCAAGTATGCTGTTGGCCAAGACTGACCACAGATAACTGTTAGGTAAGGAGGCAGAAAGAGACAATCGGGTCCAGAAAAGCCATGAGAAGCCATGATAAAGGGTGCCAATAGACATAGAGGTTATGTAGGTGACCCTGTTACCTGAGGGATGTGGAAAGGCAGTTTCTTGGCGGGGCTGCCATATTTTTGTTGCCAAAGATTCCAGTGATTTCTGAGCTCACCTTCACTGACATCAGCTAGACTCTTGCTGGGCCTGCTTCTGGCCACTCCTTCTGCCCATTTTCAAGTTTCCCCTCTTTTCTGGAAGGGCTCCAGTGGTGGGAGGTAGCCTGTTCATCAGCATTGCCTTAGGACTCAAGAAGTCGACAGATAACACCTTCCCAGCACCTCCTCTGGTACCTGAAGCAAGCGTTTTCTCCTTCCTAGGCCCATCTCTCTGCATCTCCTTTCTCTGGCCACTCAGGGACCAAACACTAAAAGCATCCTGTACAAAACAGTGCTTCCTCCCCAGTGGCAAAGCAAGTTATACGACTCATGTTCAATGCTTCCCACAGCTCCTCATAGTCAATGGAAAATGGGGTGGGAAGTCACACACCATCAAACTAGCAAAGAGCAAACATTTCCACACCACAGTCTCCACTAGAGACAGAGGTCTGCTCAGGTTCTTCCCTTTTTCCTAGCACATAACACAGAGCTGGTTTAGAACTGGGGAACTAGCTCAGTTGGCAAAGCACTTGCACACAAGCCTGAGATCCTGAGTTCTATCTATAGGACACATGTGAGAAGGGCAGCATGGCCTGTAGAGGGGTTCTCTGGGGCTTCCTGGCTCACTAGCCAGCCTAGCTGAATCAGCCAGTGCCAGGTCAGTGAGAGGCCCTGCCTCAAGAAACAAAGTGGACAGCATCCTGATAAAAGACATTGAAGGATTACCTCTGGGTACCACACTCAGGATGTATTCACATGTGTATGCACCCCCACACACTTATACATACATGCTACATGTAAAGATGATTAGTTAGATTCAAGGGGAATGTGAGTGGCAGGTCATTTATCCACTGAGGTAACAGGTTGCTTAGCCTGAAGCACCTTGCCAGTTGTTTTGCTTTTAGAATAGCCACAGTTGCTTCATTTTTTTTTTTTTGGTTTTTACTGTTTTTTGTTTGTTTGTTTGTTTTCTGTGCCAGTGGTGTGGAGCAGGAGTACTGTAGACCTGGTTCCCAAATCCTTTTTATTTATTTTGGGATTTTGATGTCTAAATACAAATTCTGTATCTCATCATTGTAGGAATCAATCCACAGCCCTGGACATCAAAGGTCACGAGGAGGTTCTCGATTACCAGGGATTGAAAATGTACATTTTCTCAAATCACACCCTACACTCTTCAACACTTTTTTCTCATTGTGCCCCATGGTAGAAAGCAAAGGTGGCTCCAGGCTTCCGCATTCTTTCCCCCTCTTCCTCTTGGTACACACCCCCATGTCAGAAACTTTTTCCATACCAGGAGTAGGGGTGGGTTCCAAGTCCTGTGAATCTGGCCTGGCCTTGTGACTTCCTGTGGTTAGTGGATGTGGCAGAATCCAACTGCAAGTCGGAACCTAAGCCAAGAACTCTCAACCACAGGGGGATCTAGCCCAGCTTAGATGCTGGAAGGTTGGGGCATGGCAGGAGCAGGTGGAAGAGCTCCCTTAGAGCAACCCGGAGAGCTGGTTAGCTGACAAGCCTCCTCACTGCCAGCGAGTAAGTCAGCTCAGCTGAACACAGCATGGCAGTCACCTTCGTTGAGCCAACACACAGAATCTGAGCTAAACAAGGGGTCATTTTAAGCCGGCGACTTTGCAGTGTTTTGCTACACAGCAGGATTCCTTTCTCTGCCACCTGAAGGTCCCACATGTCACATACAAATTATTCTACCTACACTCCAAAGAATTCCTCCATTTTTACTATCTGGGTTGCAACCAGGCAGAAAACCCTGTACTTTACTTCCCTTTCAACTTTCCTGCTTCATGGCCAGACTTTAATTTTTTTTCCTTTTAAAGGCTTAATATTTTATTTTCAATTATATATATACCTGTTTATGTGTATATGAGTGCGGGTGCCTTCAGAAGCCATGGGCATTGGCTCTCCGAGGGCCCGGAACTACAGGTGGCTGTAAACTGACGGAGGTGCTGGGAACTGAACCCTGGTCCTCTGTAAGCAGTATGTGTTCTAAACTGCTGAACCATCTCGTCAGCCCTTGCCTAATCATATTTTAAATAATTACCTTACCTTATGATTGCAATAGAAGATACATTGTCAATAAGATACAATAAAACCAATGTTTGACACAGTAACACACTATAAGGATCAGAAATAATTTGGGTCACAATTTTCTTTTGTTTTGTTTTGAGACAGGGTTTCTATATGTTGCCCTGGCTGTCCTGCAATTTGAGATGTAGAGCAAGTTGACCTTGAACACAAAGAGATCTGTTTGCTTTTGCCTTCCTAGTGTTGGGAATAAAGGAATGTGCCATCGTGTGTGGTTGGATCACAATTTTTATAATAAGCTTTGTTTCAACATGACATTAAAAAAATGGTAGCTGTTCTCCACGTGTGCATTAAAAATCAAAATCAACTGCTGTGAGCACAAGAGAACTTCAGTCAGGAGGAAAGCAGTGAAAGATGGGCTCTTCTACTCAGCTAGGTACTTGTGGCTGCATAGTGGCCAGTATTAACATGTCCAGAACCTACCAGATGACTGTTAAGATCTAGATAAAAATATTAAGGCCTGGATGGAATGTTAAAGCCTAGGTAACTGTTACCTGGCTGGTCTGCCATTCTGTGCCGTTACTAATATTATAAGGAGACTCTCTCATATGCTGCTACTGCTGCTACTAGGAAACTTCTCGTGCTTAAACTGACTGCATGTTGTTACGTTGTGTCCTTGGAAACCAATCACCATAGAAGCCAGTACAACTGCTTTGTATAGTGACCCACAAGAAATTTAGACCCGAACCAACCACCCAGCAGCACTTCCTGCACCCGTGTATACACTTTTATGGCATTTGCTTTTATAAACTGCCCTTGGGATGGACCCTAACATAAGACAGACCACCAATATAAGAAACTATTTGGAATAAGACTTCCATTTTGAGTAGGGGTCGAGTAAAGTTTTAAGTTCCCAAGACCTCCCTAGGAAGCGACACCCTACTTGGAAGAAAGAGACATGTACATGGGTAATTGACATCCTGGTAGACAAGTTAAGACATGAATGCTAGACAAGGCAAATCTCCTGCCACAGTTGACCACCACAACCAATGACAGCAGGATAACTGTACAACAAAGAGATGTGCGTAAGAAAATATCCTGTCTCTAAATCCTGATTGGTGAAATAACTTGGCACAGATGTTTGGGGATTTTAGGCTTAAAACATCTGTAGGATTTTAACTCAGGGTCACGGTTCAGCTTCTGAGCCTGAATCACCGCCCTGATCAATGAATTCCAAGGGCCAACGCTCAATAAACCATCCCTGTCTGAGATCAGTGTTTGTATGGTTTGTGAAGTGACTCCTGGACATCAACAATTATAAAACTGCTTGTAGTTCACTTAAATGATTAGCTTTTTCTCCATTATCCAAGAACCAGTGCTCATGATAAACCACACCAGTGACCTCTTCCAGTTTTAAACTGCTTTCTTGCATAAGGACCCAGCCAAAAGAAAATCACCTATAGGACAGTTGATTTTCTTACATTTATCTCATGGAGATTTGATTTGTAATTTAGTGTTTGCGTGTGTGTGTGTGTGTGTGTGTGTGTGTCTCACCTGCAGAGGCCAGAAGAGGACCCATGGAGTTGGAGTCACATGCCGTTGTGGACTGAACAGTGGGGGGGATGGGCATTGAACTCAAACTCTTATTCTCAACTGTGAGCCATTTATTTAGATCTCCTGGACACACACACACACACACACACACACACACGCGTGCACGCACACACCCACACACGTGCACACACACACACACACGCGTGCGCGCCCACGCGCGCGCCCACACCCACACACACCCACACACGTGCACACACACACACACGCGTGCGCGCACACGCCCGCACACACACACACACGCGTGCGCGCCCACGCGCGCGCCCCCACACACACACGCACACGTGCGCGCACACGCCCCCCACACGCGTGCACACACACACTCACACACACGCGTGCGCGCACGCGCACACGCACGCACACACATACACACACACGCGTGCGCGCACATGCGCGCACACACACATATACGGAGGAATGTTTTTTACTTCCATAAGGCTACCTTACTCACGCGCGAATACTTTGGAAGACAAAAGGGCCTAGTGCCTAAGTGCTTTTCCAACATCCTAATGGAGGAAGAGAAACAGCAAATTACCACGTCAACTTTATTCATTGTTTCTTGAATTTCCCTGGCACCTTCATTTTTTTCCCCTTGAGCCTTATGTTCTATGTATTTCCTCTGTCTTTTCTAGACAGCTAACCATTCAGAAAATAAGAATGCCCAAACCACAAAACGTATGATTTTTTTTTTTTTTGAGATTTAGTGGCCAAGTACCTGCCACTGTGGAAAAAAAAAAAAACGAAAACAAAAACAGGTAAGGGACCAGACCACCTGAACTTAGCCCTCAAGGATCTACATAAACTGAAAGCCTTCGTGGTGGTGACCCTGTGTCCCTCTCACTCTTTGGAGAAAAACTGAGACGCAGACTGTTTTCAGAAAATAAAATCCCTCTACTCGTGTCTTGCACTTCACTCCCCTGCTCTACACGTCTGGCCCTTTTCTGAAAGTGCTTAGAGGACACTGGAAAACGCTGTCGCTGTCACCAGATGGGAGGAGTGCAAAATAATGTAAAGGGACAGCACCTTCAGAATGGTCAGGAGAGAGAGGAAAGTATCAGAAAACACTCCAAAAGCAAATGAATAATAAATATGGGGGTGGGTGATATACATCTCAATCATGCAGGACACCAACGTTGCAAAAAAGGCCAAACTGAATGATGCCGGGTGGTGGGAGGCAGAGGAGAGGGCGCTGGAGGAAGTGAGAGATGAGCTCCACCCACCACCGTGCCAGCAGCCTGCATCTGTGAGGAGGTGCTCAGTGGCTAGCCACGGCACGGTTTTGGAAAGCCACTGGTGCCCTGTGCCCAGGGCAGGCAGAGAAGGTGCGGTCTCTCTGTACATTGTTCAGACCCCCTGCTCCTGCACCGGCCGTGATGCCCCGTCCTTCGGCCGAGATGTCTCCTGCTCCTGCAGCCCAGCCCCGGGGGTGCAGGCATCGGGGAAGCGCGGCGCAGTGCCCGCAAAGGAGTCTCTTCGTGCCAGCGACTCCTCCTGCACCGGGCGGCCCACGGGCTCCGGCTCCGGCTCCGGCTCTGCCGGCCCCGGGCCCTCCTGCGAGGTCTGGCTGACATACACCACGATGATGTCACCCTTGAAGTTCATCACCTGCCCGCTGGAGATGAATGTGGAGTTACTGTTTCCCGTCACGTTCCCTGCAGGGGACAGAGCACAGAGAAATTGCATTAGGGACTACGGTTAGCCACAGGCTACCGTGAAAGGTTCCTGGTTGATCTAAGGCTAGAAGCCCTGGTGACCTGAAGGGATGGTAGACACCAGGCCCCTATCACTAGCCACAGCCCCCCCCCCATAGATTTGTGGCCATCAGTCAGGGCAACACCCCAATCCTTTCCACAGGTAGAGGACATGACCTGTGATCACGTGGGTTCAAGACAGATCTTTATTTTAATAAGGTACTTAAAGGCCTGGAGGCTTAGCCAATAAGCTTTCCTTCCCAGATACTCCTCCCTGCAAAAGGTATTTAACCTCAGGCCACCCTGAGAAGGGGAATATTGTTTTACACATCAATTTTCCACCACGCAATAAGTGCCTTAAAACCAGGATCTGCAGTGGGGAGCCATGGGAAAGGTCTTTGCCTATAGAGCTGCCATCGAATCTCCTGTAGAAGGCTTCTCTGTGATCCCAAGCCAAGCCCAGGCCAGCCGCTGCTGTTAAGCCAAAGACTCCCCACGCTGAACAAGCCGGAGTACCCTCCCCTAGGCTAGATGGGGGTGGGGAGGTGGTGGCCCACTCCTCAGCTCTTCAACGACATCCAGCGGAGCCTCATGTCTGAGAGCCTGAGAAACAGCCAGCTGGCCGGTGGCCGGGTCCTTAAAGGCCCAGGGTCCCCTGAGCCAGCTCCAGCTGCCCTGCGCCTCAGACTGCACTTCCACACCCCTGGAGAGGTATCCCGGGCTTTCCTACAGCCCAATACCCAGCCTTTGACAGTGTGGAGTAAGCAGGTCAAACTCCCTTGTTCCACCTCCCCAAGTGCCTCGTGCCCTGTGGCAGAGGAGGCAGGACCCTAATAACCCTACACGGCCATTCTCCCGTTTTATTATGACGTCATCTATTTCTTTTGTTCTTCACTCTATTCAAGCCTAGAGGGCCTCTCTCCCTAGCGCAGGACTGATTCGTGACTTTGGATATGATCCCATCTCTTCTTCTCATCCTACTTAGATCCGTCTGGTAATGTCGTGGTACATGGAATCTATTCACCATCTACATTTTTATCTTCCAACATATCACCATGATGAGCCCACTGTTCCTTTTCCCTGGTCAGCGTCTCAATTATTCTGAGCCCAGTAAAAGCCCTGAGCTGTTTTGTGTCATCGTGCACATACAGATTTTACATAAAATCTTGAGCATTTCATTTCAAGCCATTCCCCCTTGTCACATTTATCCTGATAGTAATATACTAAACTACAAATGTGCATTCTTGCTTCCAGTCTTTATTTTCAGTGTGGAACTCAGTTCTTTGAGCTTGCAGGGCATAGACAATGCACTGTCCTTTGATTCACAACGATAATGAATGTCATTCTTGGAAGGCATGGCTCACAAAAGCCTTCAAAATTGCTGACAGTGAGTAAAGTTACCTAGAAAGAGAATGAAACTATCAACTCAACTTGTCAATACTCTTTAAATCAAAGGTATGTTTTACGGGCCAGGGCAATGACTCTTTGAGTAAAAGCACTCTTTGAATAAGTCTGAGTTGACTTAAGTCCCACAACAGGAGAGTACCAACTTTGAAAATTGTCCCCTGACTTCCTCCTTTGCACTGTGACATGTGTGTACCCACCATACACCACATACATATCACACACACACACACACAAAGTGTAAAGGAATGATGTATGAGAAAAACAATCTATGATCAAGCTTACCAGGCTAGCATTTGTGGGAAAGAATCAGTTCATACAGACTAATCTTAAAACAACAACAACAGCAACAAAAAAAAACAACCCAAAAACAAAACAAAAAAATACCCAAGAAACAAAAACAACAACAACAAAAAGCAAAAACAAACAAAACAGCCACGGACTTGGCAGTATGTGAGAGGCAGAATGGCCCTCAGACGGGTCACCTGCACACCTGCCAGGGCCGTGGGCACAGAGGCTTTATCGTCACCATCACCCCGAGGTTCCTATTAACTGTCACACCAGGCACATTGCATGTTTGTTCTTCAGTTGACTCTGCAAATTCCATCAGTGGCCCCGAGGAGCTGCATGGTAAGACTGCAGCTTTGATTTTGTCCCCACAGATCTGGTGTTGCTGCCTCAGGAGACAATGTCTTACAAGATAGCCATATTTCAATATTACTGCAGTGTTTGCAAATATAACTTTCTCTATCAATGAACTGGGTACTCAATAAGACAGTGAACTGTAGACATTGTCCATCGATAACTCCCCTCTCTCTTATCTTAGGTCTTTCCCTAGGTTAGCCCTAAAATCCTTACACTGATGGAAATGATCTTGAATGTCTGATCCTCCTGCCTTTCCCTCCAGTGTGCTAGGGTTACAGGCTTGCTGTGGCCATGGGCGTGCACCACCATGCCTGGTTTATGCAGTACTGCTCATTCAATCTGGGGCTTGGTATATGCCAGGCAATCACTCTTCCAGTCTAGCTTGTTTCCAGCCCCAAAGCTCTTAAAGCACAGTCCCCAGGCTATGTTTCCCCTAGTGCTTGGTGGAAAGCTCTTAACAACTTTCTGACAATGGAGATCCACACAGTGTTAGTTACATCTTCAATGTTTCTGGTAGAATTCTTGGTCTAGTTTCTTTAAGGCAGTGAGAATGAAAGGTGGTTCCCCAAGGTCTGAGTGCAGACACTAGAGTCTGTGGCCCAATTCTTGCACAGCCTCTCATCTGCATCAAATTCAATGGCAAGATATTTTTAGCCACTCATTCTTTGGCTAGTACCAAATCTTCCAATGGTTTTTATAGCAATAATCTTCTTGCCTATCAAACATACTCTTTCTTGTAAGCTAATAGAACTGTTAGGTCCTAAAGTCCAATGAGCTCAGGTCATACTCACAGCCCTGGGAATATACATGGGTTCTAGAAAACATGGCCATGGGAGTAGGTGGTGTGTGTGTGTGTGTGTGTGTGTGTGTGTGTGTGTGCATGAGCTCTGAATGTACATGTTTACATTGTGATAGTGTGTGGTGTGTGTCTGTGTGTGCATGAGCACCTTATGTACATGTTTTACATTGTGCTTGTGTGCAGGTGTATATGCATGTGTGTGTGTGTGTGCACCAGAGGCCAGAGGTTGATGCTAGGCGTCTGATCCCCTTACTTTCCACGTTATGTTTGAACAGAGCTGTCTAGCTGGGTGTGGTGCTCATTGGTTTGGCTAGGCAGGCTGATCAATGAGCTCCAGGGGTCCTCATGTTTCTCCTCTGCTGGCCAGTGCCGGGATTACAGATGTGTGCTGTTGCACCAGAGTTTACCCGGATGCCGTAGATCTCAGGCTAGTGTAACATGCACCATAGCAACCGAGTGACCTCCCCATCCCCTAAAGCTGTGTTTGCTCAAAAACCTGGAAGACTTACGACAGCTCCAGGAATTCAAGCAAAGTAAAGCCTGTCATTCTCATTTCCTGGCCCCAATCTCAGAGGCAAAGGCGTGGTGCTTTAAGGCACAGGCTTTACCATTAGATATTTGAGTTATTGTCGCATTGCTTATTAGCTTCACGATCCTGGGTAAGGAACTTACTCCATAAGATTTCTCTAATTAAGATAATATACAAAGTGCATGGTAATGAAAATTTCCCCACGTATACACTGTATGTGTGGATGAATATATAGGTACAAGTAAGGAGGCCAGAAGTCAAACGCCTTCACACTCTGCCTTATTTTGTGAGACACTGGCTGGCTGGTCTCATGTCCCAGAATCAGGATTACAGGCACACACTGCCAAATGTGGCTTTTTAAGTGGGTACTGGGGCAAGGTCAGGGCCTCGTGCTTGCTAAGTAAGCACTTTAGCCACAGAGCTGTCCCCTTAGCCCCTAGCAATGCATGTATGCCCCTGATGGGACTGTAAGCTTTAGGCAATGGGGACAATCTCCCTGCTCTCTGGAGGTGACAGAACTGCTATCATGGTGGAAGGGTTCAGTTCCAGAGTGACCTGGGCGTTTTTACTACATTTAAAATGGGTTAGTTGACTTAATACTAATATTTGATGTGACTTAGCTAGATAAAGTAAAAATAGCATCTAAGACAATGGAAATAATGAACATATTATCTGCCTGGTTATAATCAGAAATATGTTTACAGTTTACTAAAGCCATGCTTTCTATAGAAGGCTCTTTCTGTATTTCTACAGATAGAAAATGTTTTTCTCAGGCGGGAAGAGGAAGCTTGGTTCTGAGAAGACACTTCCTGCCAAGACTTACATTCTCAAGCAAGGCAATGCACTCTTTCCTTCTCAAAAGCATGTTATGTTGTTTAAGATGCATACAATACGAATATTAAACCACAAGAAGCATGCCAGAGAAGAAACTACCAAATTGTCATGGAGATTTCTCCATAACCAGAGCTAAAAACACACATATGCACTCGAACATTTTCTGTTTCCCCCATATGCTTTCCTTTTTATGGCAACGCAAAGATCCGTTTCAGGCATTTGGGGAAAAAATTAGGCATGTGATACAGGGGAAGGAAGTAATGTATAAAATAGTTCCATTCTGAATCATGCTAAGAATTATTTAGACACTCTTGTGGAGAATCTCTCCCAAAACCAGGGCAACTGGCCCAGAAGGAAGATTAGCACTAATAATATATATGCATATATGTGTATGTGTGTACGTGTGTATATGTGTATGTGTACATGTATGTAAAACAAAATTTTAAAATTCTTTTCACCTTCATATGTGTGTGTACTATATATGTATATATGCATGTCTTTGCATGTGTGTGGGCACACATACACGGGTGTGGGTATGGGTGGGTATATATGTGTACAGTGTGTGTGAGCACACATAGGTGGGTGTTAATGTATATGGTGTGCAGTCACATGTATATGTGGGGTGGGTGTTAATGTTTATGATGTGTGGGCACACACGAAGCTGGCATTTATGTGGATTCTGGGGATCTGAACTCTGGTCTTCCTGCCTGTGCTAAAGTGTTTTAACCACTGAGCCATCTACCTAGACAGACTTTTTCATTGTTTTTGAAATAATGTGTTGATTTCTAATACTAATAAATGCCAAATATTTCTGACAAGTAAATTATAAAAATGCCAATTTTACCTACTTGTCTGTTTTGTGGACACAGTTGGTACTGGCACGTATTCTGACAGTGGGGCAGGTGAGCAAGCCGCCCTTGCTCGGGGACAGATGGGAAGGGAGGAACATCTGGACAGGAAAACCTTTTCCCCAACCTTTCAGGAAAGAAACTTTTTTTTTTTTCCTAAAGTGGGTAGGCTCAGGGATGGGGATGGAGATGAAAGAGGTATAAGCAGGTGTCTTCTTCCTCCAGTGCCCTGGGAGCAGTAAAAGTTCTCCTAATTCCCTGTAAGAGGGTCTGGATGAGACCACCTCTGCAGGGTCTTATATTTGAATGGTTGGTCCCCAGCTAGTACACTGTTTAGGAAGGACTAGGAGGTGAGGCTTTGTTGGAGGAGGAGTGTCACTGGGAGTGAGCTTTGAGGTTTCAAAAGCTCACACCATGCCCGGTCTCCTGTTCTCTTTCTGCCTCCTGCTTGCAGAGGCTAACTCTCGGCTTCTGCTCCGGCAGCATGCCTGCCTGCTGCCGTGCTTCCCGCCATGATGATCGTGGACTAACCCTCTAAAACTGTAAGCAAGCCCTGAAGAAAGACTCCCTTCTATAAGACACCTCGGTCATGGCGTCTCTCCACAGCAATAGAACAGTGGCTAAGACCAAAGCTGGTACCAGGGACTGCGGTGTTACTGCGAGCACCTGACTATGCTCTTTGATGGACTAGGATGACTTTGGGACTTTGGATTAGAATGGCGATTGAATGGTGTGAGCGGCATTTAGTGGGCCATCCTAGTAGGAACCTGGAAGAGCAAGACCAGCTTCAAGGTGTCTCAAAGGATAACAGTATTAGTGGCTGGGCACAGACGACTCTTACAATGTTGTGACTAGAAAAGTGGCTGCTTTATACACGTGTCCTGAAAAAAAAAAAATCTGCTGGCGGCAAAAGAGAAGACTTTTGGGCTAATGTCATTAGCAGTGGAGATTTCAAGACAGCCTAGTATTGATTATGTCATGTGGTTATTGACGTAGTCACTCTTATGCAGAAATGAAAATAATGAAAAAAGAATTTTTATATGAAAATTAATAATGAAAAGGAGCAAGCAGGGCAAAAATAAATACAAAACACACAGTTTGAGGAGAAAAGAAGCACCAGGAAATGTATTGTTGTAGTCATCTGTTCTACAAAAGGAATTCAATGCAAATGCAGCTTAAGGAGAGGGCCAGTTTCCAGTACAGACAGGTACCTGAACTTGGCAGTCTCAGCCAGCCACCTAGTTCTGGATTCAAGAGTGCAGGTATAAAGGGCTTGAGGAACTTTCCTTGGTGCTTAAAAACAGCCAAGCCCTGTGGCATGAGAGTCCCTGCATGGGGTCCAAAGAGGCCATGGTGTGAAGGGAAAGCCTGTTTTCACTGGAGACCCGAAGATGTTGGAGATGCCAGACCCATGAGACAGCCAAGGAGAGCTGTACGCAGTGTGTTGAACCAGCCCAAGAAAGGGAAGTATTGCAGTTCACAAAGCTGGAAGGAGAGGGAGAACCACAGAGTGATCGAGCTCTTGGACAACAGACATGGATAGAGCTACAGGATTTGGAGGTTGCCTTGCTGGGATTCTGTCTTGCTTTTATAGAAGAAGCTAAGGTGGGAGGAGTTAGGAAAGGAAGGGAGAGGAGCTAGAGAGAGCAGAGATGTAGGAGGATGGAGAACCACACAGGTATGGAGAACAGTCGTGGGTAACAACTTACAATTAGGTTAGCTAATTGGGATACAACTCTCCTTCTATGGGCATCTTGTTATTAATCATTACCAAACATATAAAGCCTTTGATTAATCTATAAGAATTAGAGTATCATTCTCTTACTGGGACCCCATGGATGGCAGAATGGCAATGCCCTGTCTTGCCGAGACAGCATGGAAGATTGGCAGAGCCATCTCTCACACTGGCGTCTTGTGGGTGGCAGGGCTGGTGTTTCTGGTGGGCAGGTTCTAGCTGCTGTGCACACGTGGCCTCTAACTGAGAAACATGGCAGCTGAGCTAGACAGAGCCGCTGCAGCTTAGATAGTTGGCTTGACCAGAGGCCGGATTAATCAATTACACCAACAGCTTTGGTCCAGCATTCTTCACTGTGCCCTCTCCCTCCCTTTGGGAATGGTAACATATATTCTGTGCTGCAGTGTATTGGAAGTATGTGACTTGCTTTTGGTTTTGCCTTTACGGGGAGTTACAATAAGAGCCCTCCTTGAGTCTCAGAAGAGATTTGGGGCTTTTAAACAGGTTTGAGACAGAAAGAATACAGGGACTTGGAAGTTGATCTTAATACAGTTTTATCATGATATGGCTACAAATCTTTTGGGGCCAGGGATTGCAATGTTGTGGTTTGAATAATGGCCCCATAGGCTCATATAATTGAATGTTTGGTTCCCAGTTGGTGGACCATCTATGAAGAACTAAGAGATGTGGCCTTGTTGAAGAAGGTATGGTCTTGTTGGAGGAAGTATGTCACTAGGGGTAGGCTCTGAAGTGACAAAAGCGTATGCCAGGACCAGTAAGCTCCCTCTCCCCCTCCCTCTCCCCCTCCCCCTCTCTCCCTTCCTCTCCCCCTCCTCCTCTCCCTTCTCTCCCCTCCCCCTTCTCTCCCTCTCCCCTCCCCCTTCTCTCCCTC